GTTGGCTTTCATTTCCTGACTAACAAGGAGGATTATATACACATCTGACTAAGGCTTTCCTATTTTGCAGAAGGATTACTGAAGTGAATCATAAATTTTCGGAGAAGGAGGAAATGTTAAAGTCGCAAGTTGACTGTGCAAGTAAGCCTCTGATATAAAGAAGGCAACCAGCGTCGCGTCTTTTCACACGATCTTGGCGGTATAAAATGAGCCTATCTATATTGAGTGCCGAGTCTGAAATTAGCGATTGAGCCCTAGATTCAGAATGCACAATATGTCTGGGTCAAACTCAACAGCCGCACTTCTTAGTAGTGCCATCTTTTGCACGACTGATCTTGTGTTGAGAGAGGCAATACTGAGCGTATTCCTAATATGTAGGTTCCGCTCATTGCTACTTATAAAAAAGGGAGAGATGGAGGTGGAAAATTAAGCTGTTGGGATGGAGCAATTGGTGGAATACAAAGTTGCTGTGGTCTAAAATTTGTGGGATAATCACCATTAACTAAAGATGCAGCATTGTATGGAAGAACATTTAAGTAGGTCCCAGGAAGATGAATGCCATTTTGTGGCGTTGGAAAAATAGGAGGCATGAAAATAGGATTTTGTGAATTTTGAGCCTAACCTAAGGGGAAGTTTATGCTAGGTTGCAGACGTAATGGTTTCGAGAAACAGCTTAAATTAGGAAAAGGCCTTATTATTTGGGGCGTCCGGTTAGCAGTGGGGTTGGAAATATTATCAGCAACGTTATATACATGCATTTTGCAGGCTGGTGTGCAAGTAGGCTTCACAACTGGGGTGTTAACGTCAAGTTAAGAGTTAGGGATTGGAACAGGCAAAGATCTCCCTGAACTATCTTCTGGCGTATTTGATTTAACCGCAAGGTCAGACCTTAGTTACCAGGTGCGGGAACAAGATGCATTCCACTCCGGTCTATCAACTATTTCATTATTCTGAATGCTGGAGGTCGGTTGTGATTCCAGGATTGTCTCATCTTTACTGTTAAGATTAAGGTCTCTCGTAAATTTGGGGGCCGCATTTGAGCACTCCTTCATTCTTGGGGGCGTTTTGACGATGCTAGTTTCAAATGACTCAGTGATAATTTGCTCATTTGAAGAGCGTAGGGTGGGGAATCGCGATGTTCATACGGGACAGCATTAGCTACGTCACGGATGGGTCCTCATCAAAAGGGAACAGTGGCTGTGAAATCTTTAGTTGTAACTCCATGTCGCTTTAGTATACAGACCCTCCGGACAGCGGAAAGACACGGACGATGTACTCATAACAGAGTTAAAGCAAATCAGCCTTAGCAAACACGAATTTATACTTGGAAATTTTAATTCTCCGGACATCGATTGGGAATCGATGCACTGCACGCGATCTGAAAACTCATTTGAACAAAAGCTGCTCCACCTGGTTACTGACGAACTCCTTACTTAACAGGTTACAATGAACACCCGATTCCGAAGTGGACAGCAGTCAGGCTGTTTGAACCTCATCATTATCAGGGATGAAAAGTGTGTCTTTGGACTGACTTCTCACACGTCCCTTAGCCGACTTCATCAATGCGCTCTTGTTTGTGAATACCGCCATTTTCTGTACCCGAAATTTGAACCGAAAGGGAGAGAAATTTATGGAGAGGGAATTATCCAAAAATGAAAGAACTACTGACTGAGATAGAGTGGAACCCTGTGCGTGTATCTGACGCAAATACCGCTTGGGTTTTCTTAAAGAACGTGATCTGCTACTTAGAAGGAAACCGCTGTCCGCTCAAAAGAAGATCGTGCGTCTCCGACCAGAGTGGGTGACATCAGAAATAAAAAGAAATCTCAAAAAGAAGAGGAGACTGTGAAGATTACGCCGCATGTAAACAGTCCGAATATCTCTCGGAATGTAAGAAAGAGCGAAATGCACGTCGGAGTCATTCGAGAAGAGAAAGAATAGCATTTCAGTTAAAAATAGTCAGAGCAATACCGAAAAATCCGAAGAAGTTCTTTTCGAACGTGAACAGGGCAAAACGTAATGGGGACTGCATTCCTTGTCTCTAGAATTATCATGGAAATAAGTTATAATTCAGTATATATGAGGGATAGAGGCAGAGCCTTGGAAAACCCTATTTACAGATAGACGTATGAAAAAAACATGCAGATATTTACATAGCAGTTATACCAGTCATTGATATCATGTAAATGTTTGACCATCAAGCATAAGTTTGTCTAGTCTTCTTTTGAAGGTCTCGACGTTTTCCGCTAAGACAACGGAGTTCGGCAATTTGTTCCATCCCTCAACCAGCCGGTGAGAGAAGAATTTGGCCCACAAATCGAGTCTGGCATGTTTCATCTTCAATTTGTATGCGTGCCCTCGGAGATTTGTCGTCCGCGCCAGTTCGAAGAAGTCGTCAAACTGAAGAGCACAGTCTAGCCCTCGGACGATCCTGAAGGCCATGATCATGTCCCCTCTGTACTGTCTATAAGAGAGAGGAAATATTTTTAGCTTCTCCAGCCGTCTCTCATAAGGTAAGGTTCTTAATCCGCCGACTAGCCTGGTCGCTCTACGTTGTACGTTCTCCAGTAGGGTGTAATCTTTTTTCGTCCAGGGACACCATGCCTGGACATCATGCCTGAGTTCATTGATAACTCAGATTAAACGAGGATCGTGTCCGAGTTCTTCATGCCCGTGTATACCAAAGGGCCGCCTTTTGATGAGGAAGAACAACGGCAAACTGCCCTACCTGGAAATACCATTAATACGGTGACGTTCACAATGGACGCAGTAAGGAAAACTCAGAGACGGCTGCAGCCCACTAAATCATCGGATCCTGATGGTATATCCGCAAAAGTTCACTATGAACTCGAAGACCAAGTGGCCTCCGTAGTCTCCAAGATCTTCGGAAGTTCCATGGAAGCAGGAGCTCTGCCTACTGAGTGGAAGCTAACCAACATAAACCCCCTATATAAAAGGGAGAGAAAGAACCTCGCCAAATAGCCTCAGACTAGTAAGTCTCACAAGCATTTGTTGCAAAATACTGGAGAAAGTAGAGAAAAGTGAGCAAATGAGACATATTGAGGTGAACGGCTGACTTAGTGAGCATCAGCATGGACTTAGAGGTGGTCGATTCTGTCTAACTAACCTGCTCACATCCATGGACAACTGGAAGAAACCACTAGAGATTGGTTTTTCAACAGATGCAGTTTACACTGACTTCAACAAAGCCTTTGACAGGGTGTCACACAGACGGCTGATATCAAAACTGCACCAAATGGGGGTGACTGGCAACCTTCTCAAGTGGTTGCTCGACTTCATCACAGACCGACCTCAGCGTGTATGCATTTTTGATGCCAAATCGGAGTGAGAAACAGTTCATAGCGGTGTTCCACAGGGGAGCGTCCTGGGTCGTATTCTGTT